AATCAAACCTAGAGCAGCTACCACACAACCAGGCCAAATGCCAATCACCAAAGACAGGTACACACAGTTTCTGTCAAGAATAGTCCATCCTCCCACTTCAAGGGACCATTCAGGGAAATAACAAACCATTCCAGGTTACAATCTTCAGTACTAAAATTGACCTTGCAGATACCAGAAAGTATCACCCATGGATCTCATCCAGAAACAGAACAGGATGCCTGCTCTGATACCAATTGAAATTCTGGTGTATGCCAGTCTTCAGATGTTATACTCAATGTCTAAACATCTGATATGACATAATAAATACACTGCAAGGTAGATACCCAATTTTTTATGATTCAGTACTGAAGAGTAACAGAAGCACAGTTTAACCAAGTTGTGCCAGATCTACTTTGAAGGTGCAGAGGATAGAACACCGATGTGCCTAGTTCTGTTCATCTGTTGCACATGATCAGCAGAGAGCAAACAGCCTTTGTAGTTCTGTTTCTTCTGCACAGATATCATCATGATGTCTTAACATGTTCTGAGACATCATCTGTTACAACATTACAGTTTTACCTTGATATATAACAGCCAGAATTATAAAGTGTTGAAGGTAAAAACACAAATCAGTTGTTGACCCAGTTCGGTGAAACACACCTACTCTGGGGGCATACCAAGCCAGGAAGAAGATCCACTATCAGCAATATTAATTCAGGACTAAACTTCACAAGTTCCCATCCCTCACTTAATCATTTACCCAGTGCAACCTATACCTAGGAACTCCTAGATAGAAACCTACCAGTTTCCATTCCTATTGTCGCAACAACAGAAGTCTTACTCCTACTCAAGAAGTAGTGCCCTCCCACTTGGTTTCCTACATTACAATGAATATGAAGTAATGCAAAAATACTTAGACTTGCTTCACAGCTTCGTCCAAGAACACTCAAACTCTTACCTACAGGTATCGAGTTATACACATGGTAACCTTGCCACAGACCGACAGGTTTACCTAACAGAACACCCCCAATATTACATTATGTGAGACCATGCAAAACAGCAGCTCTGTTGAATATATAGCAGCTGCAACTTCAGTTAGGGTTTCCACAAAAACCTAGGGTTAATTCCGTTTGACCTAAAGACCAGGTCACAGGACTTTATTAACCAGGTTAAGGTTGAGCTAGGTTACCCCTCAGAAAACGCAGGATTCTGTTCAGGAAAGACTGAGTTATTTTCCTGAAAAAACTCAGACTTATCCAACCTGCAAACCTGTTAGTTCAGAACAGGATGTCATAACATCTGTTATGACATCTGAGAAAACCTGTCTACTGACTTAGCAAAATGTGATCATTTTGCAAAATGCTCAGATACACACTTATAAACATCAGTACTTGAATTACAATATTTTTCTGCAAAGGTACCTAATGAGTCAGTACAAACTAAACTAGAATGTTATGACATCAGTCATGACATTCACACATACACTTGGGATTTACCAAAAATGCAAGCCAATACCTAAACACCTACAAAAACATCTCATACTTCTCAAGGAACTTTAATCAAAAGCATTCAACAAATATAACTTCTTATCTGGGGAATCTTCCTTGTTAGCTTGTTCTTTAATTTTCTGGTTTTAGATAGTAGTTGAAAATTTAATAACTATCACCTTGGAGTATTTCTTTACAAAGCATCTGGGTCTTTATCTGACACTGTTAGGTGTTTAATATCCATCAATAATAGAATCAGGCTCTGATACCAATTGAAGGTGTGAAGAAAACGCAAGAAAGGGGGGGGGGGTTGAATTGAGTTTTCCTTTCTTAAATAACTTTCGCTTTTAAGCATTTATTCATTGAGCAATGCTTTTGAGTTATGCTTCTAATTAAGTTAAGAAAACATAAACTCTAAAGCATAAGCAAAAGTAAAGAACACACAATATATCATGGTTCACTTGAGAAATCCTCAAGCTAGTCCAATCCACCCTTCCGAGGTGATTTCGCCTTGAACCCAAGGACTTAATCCATTATAACCAAACTAATTACAATCGCACGGGAAACCGCCAGTGACTAACATCCAATGACGCGTTCAAAGATCCAGACTAGATATAACGTTCATTGACCCAATAGAATACGATTCACCAGAATCTCCTACCATGATTTTCTTCAAATGATATCCATCGGTGATCTCACAAAGTTGACCTTCACTCAGTCCCCTTTGATATATGACTATCATTAATCCAATAGAATCCACTTCCGGGATTTATTCTACAATGACCGCATCGAAGGTCTTTTTGAGAATTCCGACTCAACCGAGTCTCTCACGGAATCATCAAACAACTATTTGATTTATATTTGTTTATAATAATAATACTTCTACACAAGCTGGATGTAAACATAATTAAGTACATCAGAAGAACCTAATACACACTAAAAAATGTTACATTTAATTGTAGCTTCAATGTGTGGTCTTATTTTCTTCAAGTAGCTTCTTCATGGACGACATCCTAAAGCACTTGAATTGCTGAAGTCTTCTTCTTCATAAGCTTCTAAAAGCTTTGTTGATCTTTATGTAGTAAAAATAAGAACTTCTTCATCTTGATTCACTTTAGAATATTCTGGACAATAACCCTTGTTCCATTTTCTTCTATGATAAGTTTAGAGCACAACATCTATGTTGTGGATTTGTAACTGGAGCTTTCATGATCATCTTCATTATCTTCTGCGGCTTAGCAAGCTTTGTACAACATATGAAATTAAGTACACTATGAATCAATGATTTCATTGTAATTAGTAACAACATGATTGAAGAATCATTTTAATAACAGTTGTTCTTGTTATGGTTATAATGCTTGATATCTTTTTGGTTGTGTTCCAATAATGACAACTTTCATTTTTATCATTGAACACCAACAAGGTTCGCCTTGTTCAACATGATACAACTTCCAACAAAAACAACTTTAAACATGTGATTCTTTTCTTATATAGCCAAGTAGAATAAAGCTGTTGGCTATTTGAAAAAGAGTCGTTACAAATATTACTGCTACTCCTTATCTCTTCCACAATTCAAGCTAGTGGAAAGGTAGTGGAATTAAGCTTTTTTCGTACTGTGTACTATTGTATCATGTTACTGTTATATTCTTTCCTTCTGCACTTCAGAGGCTTATGCGAGCATGAGGTTAGAAGCGGGAACATAACATAAGGTATTTAGAACTTCAAGTCTTTAGAACTGCGTCTTCAAAGTCTTCAGCACTTGGTCGTGAGAACCGGTTGTAGCGAATCTTGGATCATAAGAGCTTCAAGTCTTCAAAGTCTTAAGAGCTTCGTCTTTATAGTCTTCAACACTTGGTCTTGAGAATCCGTTGTAGATAACCTTGTACTTTTAGAACTTTAAGTCTTTGGAATCTTCAAACCTTCTGTCTTTAAAATCTTTAGCACTTAGTTCTTTAAGAATCCTTGTCTTTAGGACCATGTTATTAGAAACACAAAGTCTCCAGCATCTAGACTTTAGTTAGAAACTTGCCTTCAACTCTTTTAACTTTGTCTTCTTTGAAACAAGTTGTCTTTTAAAAACTACGTTTTTAACATCTGGACTTCAGTAGAAACTTTGTCTTCAGATCTTCTAACTTTGTTTCTTTGGAATACATTGTCTTTTAGAAATATGAGTCTTTAGTATCTGGACTTAAGTGACAACTTCTGTCTTCAAATCTTCTGACTGTTTTCTTAGAACACATTGTCTTTAGAAGCTTTAGTCTTCAACACCTGGACGTAAGTAGCAACTTATGTCCTCAAATCTTTTAACTGGTTTCTTTAGAAAAATATCAGAGCTTACACTTTAGAGTCTCCTGAAGTGTCTTGCTACTGTTCAACATAATTTGTGTAGCGTAGAAGCATAGCTAATTCTCTTCTAATATATTGGCCACACCATCCATCAGAAGTAAAACCTATTTGTTAAGTACTCAACAATAACAAACATTAGTACAACAAATTTGTTCACACAAACATACTTATTCGAAACTCATAGATGATATTACATAACCAAATCTTGTTCTTACATCTACTTCTCACTGTGGTCGAACGTAACAGTTATGGACCGATCCCGACTTTGGAAGACTTTTTAACTAGTATATATCCGACAAGACTCAAAGATAACTGTTCTAGATCGGTCAAAGGTCTAATACAATGGCCCAATCATGTATATCCTAACCAAAATGATACAACATATATAGTCAACACACATAAGATTCAAGGTACAATTTATGATATCTATTTTTTTACTACACTCATCTTAAAATGTGTAATTGACTTTCGTGTTAGAGTGCTAATATTGCAGGTCCACCCTGCACTACCGTACTAAAGATCAGTATCACCGCTTTCAAAGTCTTACATCAACTCAACGATCACTAGTTCAAATACAAAACGTTACTTGTCCCATAAATATGTTACTCCTTTTATTTCAAAATGAGTGTCGTTTTAACAATTAAAATTGATTTCAAAATGAATGTCATTCTCACTTTTCAATGTAAAAATAATTACAATTTTTTCAATTATATCATTAATTATTACTCTCTACATTATTTTTAACATTCTTATAAGATTAATATAGTAAAAATGCAACGTCTTATGACACTATTATTATATTTCTAAATCTGTATGCAAAAACTTTAAACAACACTGATTTTGAAACAGATGAAGTATTTGACTAGAAATGTAGTTTTTACATTATTTTTTAAAAAACTATATAAATTTAATCCGTATATTGAACCAACATTTTTATGTGAATGGCTTCATTGATGAATGCACTTTTGAGTAGTTTACTTTCACCAAAAACAAGTTAAACACAAATCAGTTTTGTCGCAAGTTGGCGTGTCACGTTGTTGGGTGGTGGCCTTCGTTTTTACCAATTCATTCACCCACCCGTGATTCAAACGGCGTCACGTCAACAAACCTCTCCATAGATTCAATTCAACTCTTCATGTTTTGAAACCCTAATCTCTGCTCGCGGCGTCTTCTCCAATTCCATCAGAAATGATTGCAAAAGACATCCACGACGAAGAGAAATGGCTCGCCGAAGGGATCGCCGCTATTCAACACAACGCATACTTCATGCATCGCGCTCTGGTAGTTCTTCTAGTTATAGCTATTGTTACTTACTTTCATCAACTAATTCCCAATTTGCTATTCAATTGAATTTTATCGCATTTTCAGGATGATAACAATCTCAGAGATTCACTCAAATACTCGGCGATGATGCTTTCTGAACTTCGAACTTCTAGGCTTTCACCTCATAAATATTATGAACTGTGTAAAATTCTTCTTCGCTTATTCATTTACTAAATTTTGCTTTATCTTTTTATTAGGTTTGATTCAATTGTTGTTCATATGTATTTTGTGTTTTTGTTTCGTTTTGCTTAAGATATGAGAGCCTTTGATGAGCTACGGAGGTTGGAGATTTTCTTCAAAGATGAAAGTAGACATGGAGTTTCAATAGTTGATCTTTATGAGCTTGTTCAACATGCAGGGAATATATTGCCGAGATTGTAAGTAGCTTTTTCATGATCAACCTTCATTTTTGATACTTCCAAACTGTGCTTCTTAATTGAACTTGCATAGTTATGCGATTTAACTATAGTCTTGCGGTTATTTCCAATTGGCTTAGATGAAAAGGATGCTTGATTGTGTGATACAACACGATTTGAGTAGGGTTATACTCCAGAATTTAGAGAGAGAAGCTAGAACTAGAAGAAATGAAATTGACAATATTATTCATTGTTTATTATTATGAGACCATACAATGCTTATACAAGTTGATGCGCACACAGAGTAAGATGGCTACATCAACCATCCAATAGTCGTGCTACCAAATAAACTAATTTAGTATGCCTAAAGGATCCTTCTAGAGTTAACTTGTCGAGTCGTTATTCTTTTGGTTTCAAAGACCCTATCATTGTGTTTCTGAATAATGTGACGCTATTGCTGTTAATTTACTATCAGGTATCTTCTTTGCACGGTGGGATCCGTTTACCTTAGATGTAAGGATACTCCTGTGAGGGACGTTCTTAAAGACCTGGTGGAAATGTGTCGCGGTGTTCAGCATCCGATTCGTGGTCTGTTTTTGAGGAGTTACCTTTCTCAAGTTAGTAGAGACAAGTTGCCTGATATTGGTTCTGAATACGAAGAAGCGTGAGTCCATTTTTACTTGGTTGTACTGCATTGGTAATTTTTGAATATATTGTGTTAGTCTATATACCTAATTTAATTATAGATAGTTGTTGAAAAAATTACATTTGTTTCAGAATACTTTCCCTCCTACATCATACATGTAACTATCTCTTTGGTTTCAATTTCGAATATGGAAAATTTTATATTTTGGCAAGCAAGAATAAAATGGATGAGGATTGAATATGGATGCTTTTGCCTGCAGGGACTATGGCAGTGTGAAGGATGCAGTTGAATTTGTTCTAGAGAATTTTTCAGAAATGAACAAGCTCTGGGTTCGCTTGCAACATCAGGTTCTTTTAGCTTCTTTCACTCTTATCTTGTATTACTAGATACATAGCACCACAGTACTTGCATGCCATAGCCATAGAGGTAAAAATAAATCATGAAAACATGATTTCTGGCCATGCAGGTGTTATGGTGCTTGTGAATCATGCTTAATCTTTGGTGCTCCTGAGCTCAGGACTTCAATTGGGCTTTCTGGTCTGCAGGGACCTGGCCGGGTAAAAGAAAAAAAAGATAAAGAAAGGAACGAGCTTCGCGATCTTGTAAGACAAAAATATGACACCTTCTCCTTATGAAGCCGTGTGCTATACCTTTGTACATATAAGTTACACATTTTTCTCGTCTCAAATTATTAGGTCGGGAAAAACCTCCACGTTCTGAGTCAGATAGATGGCGTGGACCTTGAGATGTACAAAGACACTGTCCTTCCAAGTGTTCTAGAGCAGGTCTATTAAAGTATTTTTTCTCCCCAAAGAATACAACTTTCCCTCTTACTATTAACCTTGATTTACAATGGCTCTCAACGGTCTACATTCGCTTGAGCAGGTTGTCAATTGTAAAGATGAGCTTGCCCAATTTTATCTTATGGAGTGCATAATCCAGGTTTTTCCAGATGAATACCACTTGCAGACACTTGAGACACTCTTAGGTGCTTGCCCCCAGTTGCAGGTGAGCATCATGCTTATATTGGAAATAAATGACCCTTCACGTGTTTGTGATTTGAAAAGACATTCTAGCGGTGACCAGCCAACCTTGAGTAAAAACATTTTCTCTGCCCTGACCGACTGGATTGTATTGCAGCCCACGGTAGACATCAAAACAGTGTTAGCTCAGTTAATGGACAGGTTGTCAAATTATGCTGCCTCAAGTTCTGAAGTAAGTCTTGTGCACCTCTCTCATAAGTTAAGCTTCCAATTGTTTATTGATATCATTTGTCTCAGGTATTACCTGAATTTTTGCAAGTGGAGGCATTTACCAAACTAAGTACTGCAATAAGCAGGGTAAGCTGCGTTTTCTCATGTTTAAAACTTTTAGACAAACTTGCTCTGTGAGAACAAAGAAAAAGATATCCCGATATAGCTACAGACTATGAAGGAACAACTCCTTTGTGATTAATGTTTTGCAGCAATTCCTTTGAACCCAAACTGAATCATAAAATGGTACCTCTAGAGTTCATGAAACATGGTTTCTGTACTAAAATTTCTCTCTTTTTTCAAAGTTCTTCCTCCGTTTTTTTTAACTCTCATTTGTTGGAATAAATTGTTCCTATTTAGATGTCATTCAAAATTCACTGCAACATTAATTATTAGTTTGTGAATAATACCCATAACTATTTATTGCTGAGAGAGAAATCAATGAAATGAGATAATATAGTCAGGGTATTATAGGAAAAACAAATAACTCCATTAAGAGTAACAAAATTTATTGATTGTTCTGGTATGTCTAAATATTCTTAAAACAACTTAAAAAGGATTGGAGGGAGTATTAGAAGTTGTATGGGTTGACAGCGCACTGTTGGAGTAAGCCAAAGCTATATAATGTTGTCATCCTGCATTCAGTTGGCGTCACATTATAGTCATTTTAATAGGACTAGACCATGTTCCCCTTGGAGTTGGACCAACCCCCCAAATAAAAGAGAAGTCGGAGAGAAAGAAAGGAATAGTGTCACTTCTTTGTTCTTGCTAATTATGCTTTTTATTGTGTGGGCTGTGGATTTGTAATTCAAGACCATAACCTGCATTTGACTGCAGGTGATAGAAGCACAGGTTGACATGCCTATTGTGGGTGCAATAGCTTTACATGTCTCTCTTCTTACATTTACTCTCCGTGTTCATCCAGACCGACTTGATTATGTGGATCTAGTACTGGTACGTTATTTTTCAAACATCTTGATCTGCTATTTTCATATGATGTTGTGTTGTGTGGATGGAATTTTCGTTTAGTAGCTAAGCTGCCTCTTTTCTGAAATTTATGCAGGGATCCTGTGTCAAGAAGCTGTCTGGAAAACCAAAGCTTGATGACAGTAGAGCAACAAAGCAAGTTGTTGCACTTTTAAGCGCCCCACTTGATAAATACAATGATGTTGTGACTGCACTGACACTTTCTAATTATCCTCATGTAATGGATCATCTTGATAATGTGACAAATAAAGTCATGGCTATGGTTATTATCCAAAGCATTATGAAGAATAACACTTACATATCCACTGCCGATAAGGTACATTACCTTGCTGTTGGTTAATTGTAACAATTTAATCTCTATTTTACAATATTCTATGTGATTTTGTAGGTTGAAGTTTTATTTGAATTAATAAAAGGACTTATAATGGATTTGGATGGAACTTCTGAGGATGAGGTATGCCTGATACTATCATTGTTTTTTATCTTTTGCTTGTAAGGTACAATGTTTATATGTGTAACATGTACGTTTTTAACTGTATCTTAAAAATTCTATATTTGACCAAACCATATTATTTGCTCAACGTCAACCCAATTTTAACCTTTTTTTATCTTACCCATAGATCGATGAGGAAGATTTCAGCGAGGAACAAAACTCTGTTGCTCGTCTCTTAAACATGCTTCATAATAATGACCCCGAGGAAATGTTCAAGGTAATTACAAGTGTATTAAGAGTTTTATTGAGTTCTCGGGTGTTTCTCTATCAATTCCTACACCTAACTTGTGACCCACTTTACTTCAGATAATATGTACAGTAAAGAAACATATTATGAGTGGAGGACCGAGGCGCCTACCTTTCACAATTCCTTCTCTTATATTTTCTGGACTTAAGGTATCTTCCTTTTTCATACTATACTTTTGATGTCTTCATTGTCTACTATATTTAGCATGCTTCTTAAGCAGAACTCTACATTGTGAATTATTAGGATAGGTCTGCCAGGTATTGTCAGGTCCATATTCCATAATAAATACATCAATCGGTTATAGATTGCTTCTCTTGTGAAAGCATTTGGTACACATTAAATGACATTTGCAAAGTGTTGTACAATGGCAATGACTTCAACTTTAGAGCCTCAAGATTTTATATTTATGATTTAATGGTCAAATCTCAAATTATTTTAACCTTGTGGTGGCTTTTATCGTGACAAATATTATGTCATCATATTATTTATTACATAAATTGTACGCCTCTCTATCTAAGTGGGTTTACATATTATGTGTAAAGAACTCAGCTATTTCTGTCTTGTTTCTCCATTTTGAATCATGCTTTACTGCAGTTGATCAGGCAATTGCAAGGCCAAGATGGAGACATAGCAGGAGAAGAAGAACCTGCAACACCCAGAAAAATATTTCAGATTTTAAATGAGGTGAACTAAAAATGTACTTTGAACTTCAAAAGTAATTTAGTTTCGCTTCACAAGCCCATACTTACACCATATATTATCATCATCATGTAATGGAATAATAACAGTATTTTGATACAGACCATTGAAGTTCTATCTTCTGTATCATCGCCTGAACTGGCCCTGAGACTGTATCTGCACTGTGCTGAGGTATGCTCGAACTTGCAAACTTAAATGGTCAAATTTGTTTCGCTTTCCCTTCACTCTCAAACAGTCATCATAATGCAAAAAAAATGGGACTACATATTAAGTTGGGGCTTGAAAACTGTTTCTCTGCGTCTGTGATAGGAACCACGTGACTTATAGTGGAGGGGGAGTACCTCTTGTGCATCATAACACTCATAGGCCCATAAATGGAGAGTCTATTCTAGAAGGGGCAAAAACGGAAATTGAGAGATAATTCTGTTATGCAGTGGAGGTGAGAGAAGAATCTTTCCACTTTATAAGGAATAGAAGAGAGGTTGAGAGGGCACCTTAGAAGAATTAAGTTGTTAGATATGAATAGGAGGCTTTAGCCACCTATAGGAGCTTTTGCTCTGTGTCAGATTTAAGGGTCATTTCCATCTCTATTTTCCAATTTTATCATTAATAAACAATCATTCTGCTGGCCATCTCTTTATTCTGTGTTACTGTGTTATTAAGTACTGTGGGTTCTTAACAAATTGGTCCGACCTGCCGGATCTTCGACGACAGAGCCAGTGAATGCCACCCAAGAAGGTGACGTTGCCGGCGTTCACGAAGATGGAAGCTAGGGTCGAAATGTTACAGAGTGAGATCTCGGAGGTACGATCAACTCTAGACGAAGTCCAGAGTACGGTGACAACCAACCACGCGAACTTGATAGCAATGTTGGAAAAATGCTTGGGTAAGACGTTGACGATGGGTGATGGAGACACGATGGGTTCTGTTAAAGGTTCGCCGGTGGGAACGAGAAAGGGAGAACCACATAGTACCGTTATCAACAATCTTCGTGAGGATTCTTTGACGGAGTTTCGTCAGTCCGTGAAGAAAGTCGAACTTCCGATGTTTGATGGTGAGGATCCAGCAGGGTGGATCTCGCGAGCGGAGATCTATTTCCGGGTTCAAGATACGTCGCCGGAGGTGAAGGTGAATTTGGCACAACTGTGCATGGGGGGTCCGGCGATCCATTTTTTCAACTCTCTTGATGAAGAAAGGTCATTGACTTGGGAGGGTTTGAAGACGCTCTGTTGGAACGTTATGGCGGTCATGGTGAGGGAGACGTTTATGAGCAGCTGTCAGAACTGCGTCAGAAGGGGACCATTGATGAGTATATCACTGAATTTGAGTACTTAACAGCTCAAATCCCGAAATTACCAGAAAAGCAATTCCAAGTGTACTTTTTACATGGATTGAAAGGAGATATTAGAGGGAAGGTGAGGAGCTTGGCGGCGATGTGCGGAATGACGCATGCCAAACTCTTGCAGGTTGCACGTGCGGTAGAGAAGGAGGTCAAAGGAGAAAGTGGATCGAGTCACAATCGTTTTTCCAAACCAGGGGGAGGATCCAGTTACAAAACTCATGGAAATGGGTCGGGTCATAGTAGTGGATCAGATTGGGTGTTTGTTAAAAGTACACAAGAACGTGGAATTGGGGGTGTGGATAGAATCTCTACTGGGCCCAGAAAAGACAAGATGGGCCACACAGGGAAAGAGAAATGGGCCAAGGGATAGGGGTTTTTCTCACCTCACCTATCCTGAGTTATTGGAAAGAAAACAAAAAGGCTTATGTTTTAAATGTGGTGGGCCTTTTCACCCAATGCATGCCCAGATAAACATCCGAGAGTGTTAATAGTAGAAGAAAGTGGAGGAGATTAACGAAAACCAAATTCTGGCAGTGGAAGTGAATGAAAAAGACGAGGAAACCGATGGGGAGATAAGTGTGATGAGTTTGAACAACATCATCACTACCAACAAGGAGAGACCTCAAACAATCAAATTTGAAGGAAAGATCCAAGCGTGCTGGTGTTAGTACTTGTGGATAGCGGAGCGACGCACAATTTCATTGATCAAAAATTGGTGCGGAGAATGGGTTGGAGTCCAGTAGATACACCAAATATGACCATTAGGCTGGGAGATGGTTTTCAGGTTTCAACCAAGGGTCGTTGTACTGAGTTGGAAGTGGAAATCGGAGAATTCAAAACGCTACGGGACACGATAGTTAATTGGGATAAACACACCATGAGTTTTTGGAGTGGGGAGAGATGGATTAACTTGCAAGGTGTAAAGGTTAATAGCAACACCGGCGAGGCACTACAGAGTTTGCTAAGTAGGAGCAAGAAGCACAACAGAGGAGTATTGTGGACAATTGATAGAGTGAGTGACAATTGATAGGGAGAGTTACCGGGGGTGTTAAAACTACACGAGTAGGTGTTTGCAGAGGTGGTCGGGTTACCTCCTTACCGGGGGAGGGAGCATGCGATTAACATAAAACCAGGTGAAGGCCCAGTCAATGTTAGGCCTTATCGCTACCCCCACCTTCATAAAAATGAAATTGAGAGGCAAGTGCAAGAGATGCTTGATTCCGGAATCATTAGGCACAGTACGAGTGCGTATTCCAGTCCAGTTATTCTGGTGAAGAAGGATCAGACGTGGCGCTTGTGTGTCGACTATCGCACTCTTAACAAGGTTACAGTTCCAGACAAATTCCCAATCCCTGTAATTGAAGAGCTACTCGATGAATTACACGGGGCAAAGTATTTCTCCAAACTGGATTTGAAATCCGGATACCATCAAGTGAGAGTTAAGAGCGATGACGTACACAAGACCCGCATTTAGGACTCATGAAGGTCATTGCGAGTTCTTGGTTATGCCGTTTGGATTAATGAATGCTCCATCCACATTCCAGGGGTTGATGAATGAAGTATTCAGACCTATGCTGCGAAAAGGGGTTTTGGTTTTTTTCGATGACATTCTCATATATAGTAGAGAGTGGCAGACACATTTGAGTCAGTTGGAGCAAGTGTTTCAGCTCCTTGAATTACATCGATTGAAGGCCAACAGGAAGAAATGTCAATTCGACCAAAACAAGGTGGAGTATTTAGGGCACATGATTTCTGAACAGGGAGTTGCAGTAGACCCTAACAAGTATGAAAGTGTGCTCAAGTGGCCAAAACCCAAGAATGTAAAAGGGGTAAGAGGATTCTTAGGGCTAACGGGCTATTACCGTAGGTTCATTCGTGATTACGGTAAAATAGCCAAGCCATTAACAGAACTCACGAAGAAAGAAGCATTTCGATGGGGGGAAGAGGCTCAACAAGCGTTTGACACACGCAAGAAGAAGCTGATAGAAGCTCCAGTTTTGACGTTACCAAACTTTGACAAGGAATTCATAATCGAGTGTGATGCATCCGGAACGGGGTTGAGAGCAATTCTGATGCAGGATAGAGATCCTATTGCATATTTCAGTAAGGCACTAGGTGTGGGGAATTTGACAAAATCAGCTTATGAGAAAGAGCTTATGGCGTGTGTGTTGGCTGTCCAACATTGGAGGCCATACTTACTGGATCGAAAATTTGTTGTGTCCACTGATCAGAGGAGTTTGAAGGACTTGTTACAGCAGAAGATTATCACAGGAGAGCAACAGAATTGGGTTGCTAAACTGTTGGGATTCAACTTTGACATCCGATACAAGCCAGGCAAAATGAATCAAGGGGCAGATGCATTATCCAGAATTCAGTAGTTGCGTGTCTTGTCCCTGCTGGGAGGATCATCAACTAGTTTGTCAAGAGGTACAGAACGATGTAAAGCTCAAGAAAATTTATGAAGAATTGCAAGAAAATCATCTAGCACACCTGGGCTTTCAGCATTCATCAGGGGACTTTGTTGTATAAGGGAAGGTTGGTTTTGTCATCAACATCTACCTTAATCCCAAAGATGTTGCAGGAATTTCACAATACCCCACAAGGGGGTCATTCGGGGTTCCTTCGAACTTATAAGAGGATAGCCGTTAACGTGTACTGGCCAGGAATGAAGAATGCAATACAGAATTTTGTCAAGAGTTGCGATACTTGTTAAAGGCATAAATATCTCGCTGTCTCCCCTGGAGGTCTTCTCCAACCTCTACCGATTCCGGCGAATGTGTGGGAAGATTTGTCGATGGACTTCATTACCGGGCTGCACAAGTCTAAGGGATATGAAGCAGTCATGGTGGTTGTTGACCGCTTGTCCAAATATAGTCACTTTGTGCCCATCAAACATCCTCATAAGGCTAGAGGAATAGCAGAGATCTTCACTAAGGAAATCGTAAGATTACACGGAATTCCCGGATCAATAGTCAGTGACCGAGACCCAGTATTTATGAGTCATTTTTGGAGAGAGATTTTCAAGCTACAGGGGACTCATTTGAAGTTCAGTTCTGCATATCATCCCGAAATTGACGGGCAGACAGAGGTAGTTAATCGCTGTCTGGAAACTTACCTTAGATGCTTTGCTGCTGATCAACCTAAAGTGTGGGTGATATGGATTCCCTGGGCAGAGTATTGGTTCAATACGACGTATCACTCAGCCACAAATCAAACACCGTTTGAGGTGGTTTACAGTAGGAAGGCCCCAGCTATGGTTCGTTGGAGCATTGGTGAAACAAGGGTGGAATCAGTGCAAAGAGAATTGCAAGACAGAGATGAAGCAATCCATCAATTGCGTAGCCAACCGTTGAAGGCCCAGAATCGAATGAAAGCTCAAGCTGATAATCACAAAGTGGAAAAATCTTGAGATTGGTGAATGGGTGTTTGTGAAACTGAGGGCTCATCGTCAACAATCTGTGGTCACATGTATTCACGCCAAGCTAGCAGCTAGGTACTTTGGTCCTTACCCTGTGATTGATAGAGTGGGGGCAGTGGCATATAGATTGAAATTGCCAACAGGCTCAAAGATACATCCAGTTTTTCACGTTTCTTTGCTCAAGAAAGCAGTAGGGGATTATCAAGATGAGAGTGAATTAACTGATCAATTAGATGGAGAAAATGTCGAAGTGTTGGAACCCGTGAAGGTGTTGGTTGCTCGTACTCTCAAGCAACACGGTGAAGAGATACAACAGTGGCTCGTGCAATGGAAGGGGAAGAGTGTTGATGAAGCGACTTGGGAAGATGTAATTACTATTAAGAGTCAATTTCCAACATTCAACCTTGAGGACAAGGTTACAGTTTCAGAAGGGAGTATTGATAGGAACCACGTGACTTATAGTGGAGGGGGAGTACCTCTTGTGCATCATAACACTCATAGGCCCATAATATGGAGAGTCTATTCTAGAAGGGACAAAAACGGAAATTGAGAGATAATTCTGTTATGCAGTTGAGGTGAGAGAATGATTGGAATCTTTCCACTTTATAAGGAATAGAAGAGAGGTTGAGAGGGCACCTTGGAAGAATTAAGTTGTTAGATATGAATAGGAGGCTTTAGCCACCTATAGGAGCTTTTGTTCTGTATCAGATTTAAGGGTCATTTCCTTCTCTGTATTTTCCAATTTTATCATTAATAACCAATCATTCTGCTGGCCATCTCTTTATTCTGTGTTACTGTGTTATTAAGTACTGTGGGTTCTTAACAGTCTGCCACCCAAAACATATTTTATGGGCATACTTTTTTCCCCATGAGATTGAGGGCTTATCTCTTTAGTATGATAGGGAGATGATTTTTATGGGTTTTCTGCACATATGCTTTTGCTATTAATGCTGGGAAAAAAGCATGCAACCACCTAAAATGTTGTGCCCTTTACAAATCAATAGATCCACCATTGTTAGAAGGAAATGATGAGGAATATTAAAAATACTCACTCAAAGTGGACATCAAAATAACTGAATGTGTGGACAATTGGGATTGGGGAGTGTGATGATGTGATCATGGGAAATGGGAGGAGGCTGCTAGTTATGAAAGGAGTGAAAGGGAAGACATGGAAACATGTAATATTTTGGAAAAAGCTTGGGCAAGCAACTATGCTTGAGAGAGGAGTTTTTCTCCCGATAGCTCCATATTTTCATATATTTTCTAATACAGATATTTGGACTCTCACAAATATGCGACTTGAGCTTTCACCTCCAAATTTAAACTTGTAGTATTGTGATAACTGATAAGTATCTAAGCACTTCCAGAACCCTCCCCTTAAAAGCTAGTTATCAAGGGTGGAAGAACCAAGTCTCTTAAATATTCTCCACCAAGCATCCCATTCTATTTGATGCGGGACTCCGATAATGTACCCAAGTCTTTATCATAGCACCTCTTTGAAAGCCAACATCATGACGGTCTACGACACTTTACTCTGCCTTTATATGGTCAGCTTAGAGGTGATAGGAACCCATTCATATTGGGAATGTAAACAATGTATTATTGAATGAGTAGCAACAAAGTGGTTGGCCTTAAATGGTTAGTGAGCGGAAGTTAAGATCAAATTGAACGCGTCTGAGTTTAATCTCTGGCTGGAACAAATTGACTAGGTTTTACTTATCCCTCAACCGAACTCCTAATTACCACTGCTCTTTTCTCCTAGAAATCTGAGGATCAATACGAAGATTAAAAAGAATGAATAATAAGAACAGACAAACTCCTGGATTTTCGAGAGGTCCAGACTCCCAATTCTAAACTCAAGAATTTCCTCCATCTCTACATACCTACTTTATTCCTTCTCACTAAGCCCAACAAACCAAGTCTTTTAACATACCTCTCAATTCACTACTAACCTATCATCTTGTTGCAATAAACTCTTCTGTTAACTGTAGTAGGGGTTATCGATTAATTGGGACGAGGGAAAAGTTCAAGATGCCTATTTGCAAAAGGCACAATGTTTATGCTTTCTCTGCTGGAATTTCCGTCTATATTGCGGTCTGCCCCTAGTCGCCTAAATTGCGGCATTTGGCTTGCCTTCATTACAGCCTTCAACACTTTCACTGTGTTGGCCGTTGGGCTTGAAGGGGGTGGATTTAGTCCCACATTGCTTAGAGATGTGTCTTGTGTTATGTTTATAAGTGGGGGCAGTTCTCACCCTACAAGCCGATTTTTTAGGATGAGTTAGGCTCAACCCAAATACTGAGATGGTATCAGAGCCTATCCTAGGTCACTTGTTGGGCTTCCCGCATTGTCCACGCTTCGGCTTCATTGAGGCCCGAGCGTGAGGGTGTGTTGGAATTTTCGCCTTCATTGCGGTCTGCCCCTAGTCGTAAATTGTGGTCTGCCCCTAGTCGTAAATTGCGGCATTAGGCTTACCTTCGTTGCAGCTTCCAACACCTTCACTGTGTTGGGTTTGAAGGGGGTGGATTTGGTCCCACATTGCTTAGAGATTGCATAGAGCTCTATGGCCTATATTGTGTTTATAAGTGGGGGCAGTCCTCACCCTACATGCCAGTTTTGTAGGGATGACTTAGGGCCCAACCCAAATTCTGAGACTCCATAATCACATTGCTATTAACTTTATTTATTTCCGACATTATTATGGTTTCTATATCCTACTTAAGATAAGGTCAGTCATTTTGCACCATTGTTTTAGTGACTTGATGCCTATTTTCTGTGATTATCAGGTTGCTAATGACTGTGACCTTGAGCCCGTCGCTTATGAATTTTTCACTCAGGCATTTGTATTATATGAAGAAGAAATTGCGGTACTTGCTAACAAGGCCATCCTTTTTATTATTTTCTTTGTGACCAAGGTGGCCTTTTCTAATCTATCCGTTTATAATGATTTAGGACTCTAAAGCCCAGGTAACTGCAATACATTTGATTATTGGAACTCTCCAGAGAATGAATATCTTTGGCGTTGAGAACAGGGATACATTAACACACAAGGCCACAGGGGTATGTTACTGATTACTTGTTTTCCTTTCTCCTCTTCTTCTATAAAGGTGTGTTTGGTTGTGAGATGATAATGAGAAGAGAGAAAGAGTGTGTGAAGAGAAATAGAGTAGGTTATTGTTGTATTGATTGGAATAAAAGACATACGAGTGGAATAGACGAGATAAATGTTTTTATCTCTTTGCATTTGGTTGAATAGAGAACAAGAAGAGAAATGCTATTATTTTTTAAAAAGGACACAAATATCCGTCACTTTTATTATTTTATTCGACTTCACATAAATAATAACCTTCACTTTTATTATTCTATTCGACTTCTCATGAATAATAACCTTCACTTTTATTATTTTAATCGACTTCACATGAATAATAACACGTTTTCAAAAAACGCAAAACCAGATGTTTTTTGCCCAGAGTAAAACCACCATTAGAGGTGGGGGATGTCAATCATTTTTTTGGAGGGAAAGGAAACATTAGGGCATTATTCAAATTCTCCTCTCAAACTGAGCTTGTCAGAATAATAATAAATGACTATATTGAAATGTTACACCTCCAGCTCCAGTAACCCATTCCCTTCCTTCACTAATCAATCATGTATGTGGATAAAAAATTCATTATAAATTAAAGTTGTATGATGGATTTTTTCAGGATCACAGCCATTAGTCAAATGGTTTGTGGCAGATGTTATTCAGCTTTTTAATGTATTCATGCCACAACCTTATATGACATTCTGTCCTTTTGCAGTATTCAGCAAAGCTTTTGAAGAAACCCGATCAGTGTCGAGCTGTTTATGCATGCTCACATCTCTTTTGGGTTGATGATCAAGACGGTATTAAGGATGGAGAAAGGTATGATGTTAAATACTCAAGTTGGTTTAATTGGGATGATTTGATTGATTTCATGCATTGATGCCTATTGTGTTTGCTGAAGTAATTATGTCCTATACTCAATATAGCATTGGGGTTCATGAAGCATTACTGCATTATTTATCAAATGTAATGTCACTGCACCATTGATGCACAGGCTTATGAGTAGCAACTTTTCTTGTCTTGTGGTTTTTCTTTTGGAGATGGGTTGTTGACAGTTTGATTACAGGGTGTTGCTTTGCCTCAAGCGTGCTTTGAGGATTGCAAATGCTGCTCAGCAAATGGCCAATGCAGCCAGGGGTAGCAGCGGTCCAGTTACACTTTTTGTTGAAATACTGAACAAGTCAGTCGCCTTAAAGCTATTAACTGTTTGATGTACTATTTTCAAGGTTCTTTTTATATTTACGGATAGTTATGTTCCAGGTACATATACTATTTTGAGAAAGGAAATCCTCAGATCACTAGTGCTACTATCCAGGGGCTTATAGAATTAATCAAGACTGAGATGCAGAGCGACTCTGCATCGGTTCTTCCAGTTTCAGATGCTTTCTTTGCTAGCACACTGAGGTACATTCAATTTCAAAAACAGAAGGGCGGTATACTGGGTGAAAAGTATGATTCTATCAAGGTCTAAGTCACCACTTTGTGTTAAGCTGGCTTATTTTCGATGATGCTCAAATGTATAATTATGTGGAATACCGACCATGTATGTGTTTATTCAGTGTTCATTTTCATCCCATCAACAGAAAAAAGGTTTATCAATGTTCATTACTTATGCATTAAAATTGCTTTGTCATCAAGGTCATTTCTACAACATAATTTGCATATGCATTTTAATGATTCAGAATGGGATGTCTCTTGACCGTGAATTAAAATAAAGTGTTTGCAGTGGCGACAGGGCCATTTTACAGCATAATTGACATTTGCAGTTTAATTGAATATTTGTCCCGTTATGGCAGGTTCATTTAATTAAAAAATTGCGTTAATTAATCATTAAAAATATGGTTAATATTCAATTTGCCATATAGGGTGAATTTGAAATGAAAAAAATTATAAAACACATTTCACCAGTCATATAATTTTTTTTACTTTCACTTCAACCATTTACCAATTCTAATGAAGTGATCTTCACATGTTGGATTTTTTAAACATTTTTTTAAAATCACGTGACATCCATGTGGCATTTATATGATATTACTGACTTTTAAAAATCAAAATTTAGAATTAAAATTCATCTTAATTATTAACACTTAGTAAGAGATAAAAGCATGTTTTGTTTTTATGAAGAGAAAGTAATTCGGTAGACATGACTTGCTTCCAACATTCAAGTTGAGACTTGAGTGTATGTTTGAGGTTCACTGTATGTGGTGGATATGGAACAAAAAGATTTATATGCAGGAACGTAATGATGGTAAGACAAAATAGAAGATAAAGGGTAAGCAACAAAACAATTATAAGTGAAAATCTTGTAAATCCAAATTACCACAATGTCCATGCTTCTTGTTCGTTCTAGTAGATTCTCTAATTCTCTAATGGTGTGTTTGGTTTAGCGGCAGGGAAAGGAAAAGCGCGGCGAAAATCCACATTGCCGCATAAGCTTAGTTTTGTGGCTTTTGAAAATCACGGTTGGAAAGGATCTGTTTTATGACTTTTGAAAATCACGGTTGGAAAGGATCTAGACAGGTTTTGTGACTTTTGAAAATCACAATTGGAAAGGATCTAGACAGGTGCGTTTGGCTTCTCAAACGCCAAACCAAACACACCATAAGTAGTTGTAAGATTATAAGGATAGATGTAGAGGTGAGAGGAGGGGACAATGAATGGACATGATCAACATGAGGATCAACAGAAGGAGGGGACTAAGGTCAAGTTCATTGTTAGTTAGAGGATCAAGGTTAGTTAAAGGATCAAGGTGAGGCATAGGTGAAGTATCATGTATTGATTCAGAGATATTGAGAGGGAGTATATGGATATAAATAGTCACCCGATAAAGAAAGGCTCAGTGATGGAGGAGGATGTCATAGGATGAAATGGCTTAAAAGGAAAATGAGTTTCATAGAATATCACATTTCACATAGAGGGAGTATATGGATATAGTCACCCGATAAAGAAAGGCTCAATGATGTTAGAGGATGTCATAGGATTAGTTGTCTTAAGGGGAAAATGGATTTCATAGAATATCACAGAGATGAAGAGAATTAAGATCATAAAAGAGATAACATTTTGTGTTATCTTTGAATCTTAAAAATATGGTATTTCTAACTTTAGAGTCAAGCTTGGTTCTATGTATTTGCAAGATGGTTGCATAACAAAGACAATCAAAGATCTTGAGGTTAATAAGCGAATGTGATTCTTTGTAAAGAAGGTCATATGGACTTTTGTATTTTAGGAGAGGATTTGGTAGTATGTTAATAATATGAGTGACATGTTGAGTGCTAAAGTTTTACATGGATAAATGTATGTTAAAGTGAAAATATATGGATCTAGCAGGTTTGAGGGAGAACCAATTTAACGAGAATGCTATTAGCAGTCTATAGGAATATCTCTTTTGTTTCTATGAGACTTGTTGTAATACGGTAGGAGAACTGACTTGGGTGTTTTGCGTTTGATTGTAATTGTTGTGGAAAGAAAGAGTCATCATCGATTTCTTTTATCCAACAAGGAAAGATTGAAAAGAATCGAAAAGATCTTTCGAGATTATTTCTTGAGTTCAGGGGGTAGGTTATGAAAAGGGAAGGTGTTAGCACCCTTTTCATCCGTAGTTATCTACAGGCTCTTAGTTGTTTGTTAGATCACTTGCTTTTGTTTTAAAATGTGCTTGTGGTGTGAGTTTTGAAAGTATTTTAAAAACGTCTTTCTAATGGTTCTCGTTTCTATAAGAACACGTACAAAGTGTTGTTTTTTAAAATAGTTCAAAGAGGTGTTTGTGGAATGTGTTTTTGAAAGTGATTTTGAAAAGTGTCTTTGTAATGGTTATCGTTTCTATAAGAACGCGTACAAAGTGTTTTATCTTTTAAAAATGTTTCAAAATGAAGTGTGAGTGTATGAAATGTTTTTTGTTGTGAGCAAGCGAGCAACTAGGAGCATTCTACCTACTCAAAAGGTCTTAATGTTCTTTTCCTCCTCCTTTAGATGTTGTTATCTTACCATTGATTTGGTAAGAAGTCCCATCAATGGATGTGAATGTACGGACGTGAGACGTTTGTATAGTCATAGAAGGCAACCTATGGGATGTTTTAGCAATGTTGTTTAGGGGCTAGATCGTTTACCAAAGGCAACATTGAGGGTCATCGAGGGACTACGATCTTTTATCGAGGGTCTTTGTTAAAATGCCCATATTCGAGAGACGTGACTATTTTTCCGAGACAACAAGTGAGATTACCCTATGGACGCATGTGTGTGAATAGTGTGTTTGATTGCATGCATTTTGTCTTTGAATTTTAGGTTGTCTACTTGTTGATTTTTATCTTGCCATACATCTTAATTATTAACATTTGTGCAAAAGCAATAAAAATGCAGAAAAAATAAATCCTACACTATTACAATCATATTGAATAGCCAGAAAATATAAAGGCAAAACAAAAATGAAAGAAAGAAAAATGAATGCTTCGATCTAGGCAGAAGAACCCTTTGATTCCGTCCTTTCTAGTTTCCTTTGATTTGGGCCTGGAGTCAGTGAGGTCGTGTCTTTTGATTTGGGCTTAGCATGAGGCATGTGATGCAGCCTTCTATTTTTCCTTTCCGCCTCCTTCGACTGGGGCCTAGAATCAGCATAGTCATCCTTCTGGCTGCTTCTTTCGTTCAACATGGAGTACCCTCTTCACCTTGAGTCCCTTGTTGTCTCCTTCGATTGGGGCTTGGGAGTCAGTGTGGAAGCGTAAGACTTCGTTTCATACCTCTTTCCTCTCGTTTCTTTCGTTTGATATTTTGAATAGAAACATGGCCCAAGGTCATGCTAGCATTACCTTATAGTCAGGTTAGTTCTTAAAGCATATTTTAATAAACAAAGAAAATAAGTCATAAGAGTCTCAATGAAAATAAACTGAAAAGAAGGAAACGAAAAGAAGAAAAATGTTATGTACATGTTTGAAACGAAAAGGAAGTAAGTGTGATGCACATGTTTGAAACGAAATGAAAGATTATTCACATGTTATGTTAGAAACGAAAGGTTCAAGTTTAAGAGTGACTTACCTTGCTTGAAGCTGGAACGTGTGCTGGAACTTGAGTGGCTGCCCTGTGTGCTTTTAGATTTGAAGGGAAGAAATAGAGGTTATGCCTTTAGTGTTGGATTCGAAGGTCAGGAGATGTGAAGGATGGATTCAGATTCGAAAGAGAAAAAGGAAACAAGGGTTGTATTTCTTCTGGATTTGAAGGACCAAGGAAACAGGTGTAGTGTTTCTTCTGGATTCGAAGGGTCAAGAAAAAACAAGTGTTGTGTTTCTTCTGAATTCTGGGTTTGAATATGGTTTTTAAGTGTTTGAGAGTGTTTAAGTTTTTTTCTTGAGAGTTTTTGATAGTTTGATGATTGACGATTCGTTCCACCTGTGATCGGTGGAAATAGAACTGACTGTTTTTAGCTAGTTCGCGAAATGTCGCGTAAGCAAGAGTCGCCACCGTCTTTTATTTTCTCCAACATGGACAGGACAAAAGCACAACAAAATTCCTTATGAGAACGTTTCTCGGTTCGGGAGGTAGATTTATAGAAAGGGAAGGTGTTAGCACCCTTTCTATCCATGGTTATCCATGGGCTCTTAGATACTTGCTCTTATATTTTCAAAATGTTTGCTTTTCAAAATGTGAGTGGGTTTGAAAAAGTTTCTTTGAAAGATTTCTGAATAACTCTTGTATCTGTCCTCAAGAGTGTTTGAAAAATTTGTTTTGAAAGCTTTTGAAAGTGTCGGTGTGAAAAGATTTTTGATTTGTTTTTTAAGAGAGCAAGTATCCATGAGTCATCTACCTACCCTAAGGAATTAGGATGTGTTTAAGTCCTTAAGGTAGTGCCATCCCACCATTGAGAGGTAGGTAGCACCATCGTTGGAGGTGTTCGGGTCAATTCGATTGAGGGACAGTGTGGTCACTGAAGCAACAATTAGGACACCTTAGAAGTAACCCTAATGTCCTAGATCCTTTTTTAATTCGAGGCAACCGTTTCGAGGCAACTGTTTCGAGGCAACTGGATCTTGGACATAAGAGCGACCGCTAAAACTTCCTATACTTGACGACCACGTTTCGAAGGCAACGAGTGAGGCGTACCCTAGAAGTGGTGTGTGTATAGTGTGTTGTTTTCAGTTATGTTTTATCTTTGATCATGGCATTGTGAGCTACGAGCTATTTTTAATTACCATACATTCTTTCATGCGAGTTTAACAGTTAGGAGTGCAGAAAATTAAATGCAAAAAGATAAAAGCTACGCTATTACAAGGCGCGGGTCAATACATCGCCAAAATACAAAGACCCGTTTTTTTGATAAAAATGCGGAAAGTAAGAAAAACAATAAACCTAATTACTATTATATCCTTGAACAGTTACATAATAATCAAAAGAAAATAATGCGCGAAAAGAATTAAATTGAACGTCCGAGGGTTTTGACCCTTTGCTTGAAATTAAATTGAATTAGAGCCTAATTAATTGTTT